CGGATTTCAAGCGATCGTTGATACGATGAAAGTGCTTTCGAGTACTCGCCCATGCTATCATACACCAAGCCGATGTTGTTGTAGGAAGCAGCCAAGTCGAAAGGATTCGGAGTGAGAGCTATTTTCTGGATTTCAAGTGATCGTTCGTACGATGAAAGTGCTTTCGAGTACTCGCCCATGCTATAATACACTGAACCGATGTTGTTGTAGGAAGCAGCCAAGTCGGGATGATTCGGAGTGAGAGTTATTTTACGGATTTCAAGCGATCGTTCATACGATGAAAGTGCTTTCGAGTACTCGCCCATCTTATGATACACTTCACCGATGTTGTTGTAGGCAGTAGCCAAGTGGGGATGATTCGGAGGAAGAATTTTCTCTTGCATTTTCAGTGTCTTTTTGTAATATAAAAGTGCTTTCTGGTACTCGCCCATGTTAGCATACACCCAGCCAAGTTGATGATTGTACTCCGTTCGCTCTTCATTAGAAGACGCCTTTGCAAGAAGGATTTGATAGAGTTGTTCTGCTTTTGCAGGTTTGCCCACTTTAATAAGTATGCACCCAAGTCGAGACCATCCTCTGTATCCACCAAGGTCCTCACGTATTTGTGCTGTTAGTGTGTTCAATTCATGATTGTCATTACCCACAATAGTGAGATTAACTTCGAATAGCCGATCACATTGATTATCACGAATTCGTTCAATGCGATCGATACGAAAAATCGCATGTGTTGTAAAAAGTATTTCTTCTTCTTGATCTTTATAAAAGCCAATATTGCTTACTTCGGCAAATGGTGTCGATGAATTTGTACAAATAGTCGTGTCAATGGTCATAACAAAGAGAATACCAACTGAAGTATGATTCTGTGTCGCTGGCCGTGCATAGTTTTCCAGGGAAATCTCACGATTGAGACTTGTCGACAGAAAATTATTGAAGGACATAAGTCCTCCGTTGGTTCGTTTCATTTTGTCAAAGTCTTCCATGGACAAACCTTGTCCACGAAAGACTTGAAGTTTTGTTGGCATGTTGTCTTGTTGTTGACGATGTAATTCAGTAATATGATTATGTAAATGGCGAATGAAGAAACCCATCTTCAAGATAATATCGACATTCATTTCTCGAAGTCCACGATTGAGCATTGAGTAGATAAAATATGGACCTGTGTACCACCAAATGGGTGAATGATTACGATATTCTTCTTCAATCTTTTCAAGTGTTTTTTTGGAAGCATCGCTTTGAACACGACAGTATTCAACGAGTTCCTTAATCGATTTTGCATCATCATCTTCTATTTGCAAAAGTGCTTCTTTTAACAATTGTGTATACATAAATAATGGATCAATTCTATTAAAACTTATCGAGATCATAGCTCGATCACAATTTTCTTGATCGATTTGTAATGCTTTACAAATCGGTTCGATTTGTGTGTATATACCTTTTACCTTAGGTATTGTTTTGGCCCATTCCTCATGAATCGATTGATTGTCATATAAAATATAAATTGAGACTAACTGTGGGCATTCTTGAATTATCGGTATTATATGTTGTGCTAGGGCACCTGATACGATCATAAATACTTTTTCGTTCTCAATGTCAGTGAGAAAATCAATGGATTCATCAACGTCTTTAAACACTGCGACCGTTGCCACTATATGTTGCAGATGTTTCATTGGTTTTTCATAATCGTCTTTGGACTCATCGAAATCGGCATCAAGCCAGACCAAAAGAAAATTTTGAAGCATCCGACGGACGGGGCGTGGTTGTGTGATATTTCTACTCACCACTGTCGTTGTTGCTGTGGATGACTTATTTGGTTTACTTGTGGTAGACGACGATGAGTCACTAGCATTTGGTTTCAAATTTTTCTTGTCCATTTCGCTGATAATAACGATGATGGTGATGAGCTTTTGATTTTCTTGTTCAATTTACGTAAATGAATGGAAACGTGAATACTTGTTGCACACTGTAAAATATCAAAAAAACAAAAATATTTCGTCTCTCTCTAAATATATTTCGGTTTTTTCTTCCTTTTTATGTTGACACTTTCGATTTTGTTTGGCTGGTTGTTATCAACTTCAAGGACTTCTTATTTCGATTATTCTCTCTTTTATTTCAAAAGTGTTGCAGGCTAAATGTAATAGGCAAAATCGATGTACATACTTCAGATATGCGATAAGGAAGAACAAGAACGACACATGCAAAAAAGAATTGCATTATAGTCATAGATAATAGAAAAGAAAAAAAAGAACTTCTAAATAGGATTTAAACATATTTTTGCTCTTTCCTACTGATGTTCCTTTCGGTTGCCTTGGACTTCAATACGAAAGGGCGATGAATGGCAGTGTCTTATTAGTCGATGATGGCTTCTACTGTTGCCAACAAGGCATGGGTGTTGGCGAGTGTAAGGTGTGGGTGGATATTTGTGTATAGAAGTAACCTTTGCTTACAACCACACCCACAGCCACAGTCACACCCACGTAACCAACGCTTTTCTTCCTGATTTTGAAAACTATCTGTGTAGTCCTCTCTTTTCCTCAGACTCAACTATTCTGTACGCTATCTACCTACTTCCAGCGCAAAATAGCGTCTTTAGACATACTTCTAGTATTTACAAGCTCGAAACATGTCCCTATTGAACGTGTAGCAAAGACTATATTTTAGAATTATATGAAATTTTAACAACTTCATCATAATGAATGTGAAAGAAGTTTTGGTGCACTATAATAAATTAAAATAAAAACACACGAATAGTCTCTCATCAAGAATCAGATGTTGCAGAAACCGATGTGAATAGTATTGTAAAACATTTTTGTATATATTCAAGACAGACAAAAGCTTTCAATATTAAAATATATGTCAACAAAATTGATGATGAACAGTGGATGAAGTTTCATACAGCCATTATAAGGAACATTACAAAAAAATATGAATGTAAACAGTTTTAATATCTGCCAAAAATATATTCGAAATAATAAATAATTTTCTAATTAAAACCTTAAAAGGACTTGGATTTCTATTGAGTTTTGACTAGAGTATTAAAGTTTTTATATCTACTTTTAGAGACTTCAGATTTATAAGAATTTCGGTTGATGAGAAGGTTTTCAATTTATATCAATGGTGTTTATCAGGGATTGCAATAGCAGGTGTACCAAGCAGAAACAAAATGTACAGAACATCTGTTGTTTTTTATGTACACTCTGTTTTACACTTTGGTTGGAAAAACGAAGTGTATGTCGTACACTGTAAAGAATAAATTTACACTTTCATATTAATGCATTAAGAGTGCTAAGAAGTTTTAAATTAAATAGAATGGAAAGGCCATAGTAAATTGTGATATCTTTCGATCGGTCTTATCATTAATTAGATATGCCTTCTTTTTTTCTCGATCTCTGATAATGATGCGACTCTATGCAATACAAAACTCGTTTATGTTTTTTTCTATAAACTCGCGTTTTTCTTTGCTTATTTTTTTGTAAAACGGTAGATAATGAAATAGGATAGGTACTTGTTATTTTTGGATGATTATGTACTTACATTTCTCGGTTATGAATGATCCGAATACTTCAATTTATATTTTATATTTGAAAAAAGTTGACTTCCGTATCCGTACACTTTGATACACTTTGGTAATGAAAATAAAGTGTACGGATACACTTTAGTTATATAAGTAAAATGTACAGATACATTTTGTTTTAGATTTCCATTGCAAACCCTGGTGTTTATGAATATTCAATCGATGTTAGGCTTTTTTCAGTCGACTATTCATTCATTTATTATGATTATCAAAAAATGTTTAAACTTAGTCATTTATTTATTTGACTTTAAAATAAATGAACTGAATGTAAATTATACAACATGGATAAACTAAGTAAATCAGTTGAAGTTTTAAAATTACTTTCAACAACAACGTCACAAACATTAATAATCAAGTAAATAATTTAATTTTTTTCTGTTTTTCATTTTGTTTTAATCTCCTATCAAATGTTTTTCTTGTCTATACGTAACAATAAAAATTATTTTAAATTAATTACAGCTAGTGTGGAAAAATTATTTACAAAATGTGATGAAAATGATTATGATGTACGACTGACTGCCGAAGAAAATCTTAATCACCTTGTTAAAGTCTCATAAAAGAAATTCTTTTTTTTTGTATAATTTTGTATGACTTATAAAGTAGAATTTAAAAGAAGTAGATTTAACAAGAATTCAAGTTGAATTGCATGGAGTTATAACACATAATCCTAATGTTGGACCGACAGCTTTAAAAGGTTATTTTTATTATTTGACCTAAATTTATAATAAAGTTTTTTTTTTAATTTCGATTAGGTGTTTTATGACGATTTGCCAAATTAGCAAATGTAATAGATCCGAAAAAGATTCGATCATTTTTTCAACATTTATCAGCAAGCATTTTGCTCAATTGCTGCTCATTCAGAAGATATTGTTCATAAAAAATTATTGAAATATTATGAACTTATTTGTCGTATTCTTGGTCGATTGATTAATGATAAAGAAATTAAATCAAGTAAAAAGGAAAATCTTTGTGATCTAAGACAAGTTTTTTAAAGAAGTAATCAGAAAAATGTCATACGATTGAATAGAAACATAGAAAAGAATTGCTCTAGTTAATTGACAACTTCTGAGCCCAGGTTTCGGTTAAAACTTCTAGCAGGAGAGGATGTTTTTCAGAAAATGTAGAATAGGTAGTCTAATACTATTTGACGAAATACGGACTGAGAAACTGTTCATCATTTGAAGCGATCCGCCCTCGAAAGTAATCGAGTGTAGAGTTTCATGCAACTTAAGAATGGTTTAGTCATAGTAGTTCACTGGCTACCGTTATAATTGAAGTATGAAATCGAGTGAAAACGCATTCTTCTGTTTTTTTCCTAATATCAATAATAAATAGTTTTCTTTTGAAACATTTAGTAAACTACTAAACTATTCTTAGAAACTTCTCATGGTCTATTCAGCAAATATGTTATCCTATGGTTATAGTACGTTTTCTAATGACAAATGCAATTAGTAAGTTTTCTTTCAAATAATAATTTCAATCCATTATAATTGTCTTTTATTTTAATAGATCAATTACTTGAGCATCAAAATCAAAATGCTAGTACACATTTAATAAAAAGAATTATTCAATTACTTCGTTATTCAAATTTATTTGATTTTGATCAATTATTAATTTAACTCAAATTGGATCTATAGAAGAAAATCGTGTTAGTGAAGCCTTAAAAACATGTAAATATTGAGAAAAAAAACAAGAATTTTTTTTTTTATTTGTTTTGTTTTTCTAAAACAATAGCTTATTCAACATATCAACGTTGATTTATTGAAATGAATGATGAATTCGATTCAATATCAATGATTAATAATGAAAAACGAACATAAGCTGCTAAACCTGTTCATCAATTATATTTTTTTCCGATTAGATATATACTCAATATGGATGGTACGATAAAAAGTGATGATGAATCATGTATTAGTGTTAAATGTGCTATACCAATATGTCTATCGTATTTATCAACAATTTGGTCGATTTGATTACCTTATTGAAAGTATGTTTAATGCTTGTTTGAGGCTTCTTTTTGTAAAGTTTCACTTCAGTAAAATAGATCTATTTTATAATCCAAAATTATTTCTAATGTCGTAACAGTAAGAGGGCTTAGGTGAAGGGGATTGTGGCAGAGTTTAGTTGACGTGGCTTCAATTGGTTAAGGTCTCAAAGTTTTAGTGAAAGTTATCTGATAGATATGACAATTTCACTATTAAATTGTTGAAACATATATATATATATTGGAATCTGAAAATTCAAGAATGGAGATTTCTCGATATTGATTCAGCAGCTCTAGTCCTATTCCTACTTTTAATTTTTTTGAAATTAACAAAAGACTAGAACATTATCAGACTCGAAAAGATGTCAAGTAGAACATTTTATTGAAGCTCAAAGCCTGCATCAATACATCAGAGATTGAAATTATACAGTCACATAACTACCTCAAAAAATAGTTCTAAGCTGACGTTCGGGATATGAAATCAATTGTACCCTCTAAGGATTTTTCCTTTAGTCTTTGAAGATTTCTGATTAGATATAATTTTGTAATTAAAATTGAATTCTCTAAAGGAAAAAATGAAATTCACATTTCTATATGACTTGAAATACATTAAAATTTATCGAACATCAAGGTATCTTTTTTTTCTTTTCTTTAAGATATTACATATCTTTTATCTTTATGTGAACACGGTGATCTACATTTACGTGGTGCATATGCAAATTTACTTGTTACATTAATTCAAACAACAATTCATCTTTTAACACTGATCATTATCAAATTCTTTTATTAATCAATGTTCGCTTGTATCAACTGATTCACAAGGACAGTTCAAGGTTATATGTCTTAATGATAATAGTGCACGTGTTATACATGTTTCAGTAAATGCTTTACGAACATTATTACCTTTTTTTATTAATTAATAGTCATGCATTTACAATCATAGGAATTGAATTATTAGAAGATTCTATTCAACATAGTACAAGTTCCTGTACTCTTGCTCAAGTAGATAAAAGAAATTTATGATTATAACAATTTTTTTTGTATGTATATAAAATAGGTTAGTCTAGCTCAACTTATAGATGATATTGATTTTCGAATATTAACTTATCTTGAACAACAACAACAACAATTAAAACAACAGTACCCTGATATACGTGTTCGTCAAGCAATTGCTTCGACTTTTGCTAAGTATGTATTTTGTAGAGATAATAACTACGTAGCTTTTTTCGAATTTGGATGAATAAGTCGATTTTATTGCATTAAGTTAGTTATTAGCTACTTTTTGATTTTAAGGTTTTGTTGATCACAATTCATTTTTACCATGTCAATGGATATGTAAAATTCATCATTCATTACAAGCTCAAGCATCAATTCGAATGCAAATTGTTTGTTATTTTTGTCTTTTATATAGGTTGGATGTTTAGAAGATATTAATGTTCTTTCAAATGTTTTAAGACCAACAACAATTCGACCAATTTTTTCATAATCAATATGATAAACTTCGTTTATTTATAAATTTTTTTAAACATTCCTTTATATTACATGATCTTAATATTTTAATCTTTTCAAGTAAAGAGAAAAAAAAAAGATATTTATTATGTTTTTTTTAGAATTCTTTTTTTTTTATTTGAAGATTTATCAAATCTCAACGAATGAAAAAATGTTTCGAAAGTAGCACAAATGATTCAAGTAATTGGAAAATTGAACTATTTTATTACCGTTCTCGAACTATTGCAAAAATATTCACAATCATCATTCTTTTGGACAGAATATAGTTGATATTTCAGTTTTCACAGAAGAAAGGAGTTCTAAAGTGTTAGATTTGAAGAATATATTTGAACATGTTTCGCCTGAATGAATTCATTTGTTTTTTATCTTTTTAAATAGAATGATAAAGATTCATCAGCAACATCAAACACAGACAAAGTTAAAAGAGTTAATCATATACAATTAGGTACTTTTGGAAATTATTCGAATTAATATGTTCATCATATCAAATACATAAAAGTTTATTAAATTCACCAGAAATGATCATTATTGTCTATGAAATCAGTTTTAAGTCTTATTTCTACACAAGATTTATCAAAAAAATTTGGAAGAGAAACACTTAATTATTCTTAATCAACATTCAATGTACACAAAAGGTAACTTCTTTTAAATAGTAAATATTTATTGTAAAGAAAATTTCAATTATTAATCTTCTTTATTTATTGGTTAAGCTAAAACCTTTAGGATGTTATATTGTGTCTGAAACTTGTCTATAGATAAAACTTTAGATGGAAATCTTATAATTAAGGTTTCTGAAAGGGTCTTTCCTAGAGAAGGAAAATTTCAATATAGATAACAGAAAAACTGATTTTACGAATATCGATGATCTTAACGAGAGTAGTTTTGTTGTGAAAGTGTCAGATCTTTTGATTCGGTTCTATCTTGAAATTCGAATATTAAATCACCTAGTTGACGTGGGGGATCTGCAAGACACACTATCAATTCGAAATTTGAAAATCATTTTTTCTGTTAACACAACATTCATTTAAAAATATTCTTTTAATTTAGTTTTTATTAAATCTTCAAGTATTTCTTCACAAGTATCATTAAATAATTCTTTAACTTCTATTCATACAATAATTATTCGACAATCGATAATTTATTGTATTTGGTTCACGTTATGCATCAAGTATAAATAGTGATCAATCCATAGAACATAGTGCAATACAAGAGTAAAATAAACAAAAAAAACGAATTTGATTTATTCTGTCTTTTTTTTGTTTTCTATTTTATAGTTTTTATTGAACTAAAAAAAATTAGTCTTAAAAAATATACTAATACAAATGAAAGTGATTTTCAAGCTGCTGTACTCAATTTACTTGTTCAATTACTTTTAATTCGTGTTAATTATAGTTAATTAGAAGCTGATGAAATTCGTTGCATTTCTAATCGTTTCGTTTATTTTTAAATAGCATTTTATTTATTGTATTGCTGAATTTCTTGTTATGTTATCACATGATACACTTCATTCAAAACAAGTTATTAAAATACAAGATTTAATAAAACATTATGATTCATTATTAGCAAGTAGACATGAACCTGAAACACATAGTACGAAGCAAAAAAAAACATTTTCCTGAAAAAGAAATTATCGTTAAAATTCTTTATTTAGCTTTGGCAGCATTAGAACCAGTTTTATATGATTTTTTTCTTGTTCAAGTTATGCAAATAATTAAAATTCCTAAAACGTTTTATTCAATGAGAGAGTGTGAGTGTGAGTGTGTAGATGTAATTTTTCTCCTCGATTGAACCCACACCCACACTTTAATGAATCGATGATCTGAAAATAATCATCTTGTTGATGTCCAGAACTTAACAAGATTTAGAGACAGTAATCTTCAGTTATGTATTGGAGTTTGAAGGAAAACTAGGCGACTTAATTATTATAAATAAAAGTATCTTTTCATGTCATGTGTATGTACTGAAAAAATAATAATAGAATTTATATTGTTATAGGTTTTACGATTGTTCACAGTTATTGTTAATAGTGTTCAAATTGAAGATGATAAATAGAAACGTCGTTCACGACAAATTGTCGATTTACTTCTTGCTCATTTATAATCTCAGGTTATTTTTTTGTTTTAATAGTCTCTGATTTTGCGTTACTTTTTTTTTTGTTCAAATAGGATCAATCACTTTTGGATATTTATTCCACACAATTAACACTATTTGATGTTGTGTCATCAGTTGCATTACGATCAACTGATCCATTTGTTGTTGCTTTTCGAGCATTAGTAAATAGAAATATTCGTTGTTTTTATTTATAAAATTTTCCTATAGTTTAAATTCTTTTTAGAATGTCAATTGTCAATCTACAAATCGATAGTTATTCAATATAAATATAATACTTCGATATCTTGTACAAAATTTAACTGAAGATGCTATATTAACGCGATAGAATGATGTTTTATTATCAGTTAATGGAACACGAGATGAAACGTTTAGTGCGTACGTATTCGAAATGATTTTATTTATTATTTAACAAGTATTATTCTCGTTTTTGTTTTCAGAACTCTTCTTCGAATTTTAACTAATACTCGACAATTACGTGATCAAATCGATATGACATTAGTTTCTCTTGCATCCGATTATCTTTATGTACTTATGTATATTATGGATTAACTGAGCAGATAATAACTGGTTTCTATCAAAGTCAAAAGAGCTTAAGCTTTCATCATAATCTATATGATAGTAACATATTACCCATTAATTTGAAGATAAAACTTTCCTGCAATTCATTAATTACTAATGACCTAGCGAAAAACATTTGACTTTAAAATTCCTATGCTTATATAAGCTCTATAATTTTATTTTGGCTAAACAATGTCGAACAATTGTAAATGATTTTCATCAATTATGAATTCATAATGAAACTACATTGTCTTGAGACATTTTCATTTTTAACTATTTTAAGTGAATGTTTTAAACTATTATGATTATCATTTTATATCTCATTATTATTACAATGGACACATTCTGAATATGCTTGATTATACACAAGAAGAATACTGGTCACCGATATTAACACCATCATCATTAATAACACATTTATCTATAAGTGGTCAATTACAATCTTATTGTGATTTAATAGATCATCATGAATTATATGTTGAACATTTTACATCAATAACAACACATTATCAATTATTATTATTATTATTTTTTATTTGAACAAAACGATACATGTACATATGTACATAATTTATTTGATCTTATACATCATACAGTAGTTGCAAGTCATTTATTCGTTTGTGAAGGAATACATTTAGATGAAA